ATTTTCTCTTTTTTCCCTTCAGACTTTCTGGGGATGATGACAATGAACTCTTTAAAAGGGCAGCTCTTAAAGTTCCAAGGCCCAAAGCACAGGCTGAGGAGGAAGATGAAGATGAGGTGGTAAGGAAATCCCAGGCACTGCGAGGTCCTCACTCCCCCACGTGGGGCCCCTCCGCACTGGCTCAGAATTGGAGGCTGTGGGTGGCCCGCTCCCTGGGCTCTGTGTGCGGGGCGTGTGGGAGTAGGCGTGGGGCTGGGAGAGGGCAGCTCTGTAAGCACAGTGGCCGTGGTCAGATACCCCTTCATTCTTGAAAAAGGACCACAATTGCTGTCCCTGCAGGAAGAGTTTCTACTTTAAGTGAAGAAAGTTGGGCTGCTTAGTCTCCATTAGTATGCTAAGATCTCAGGTTTCCTCAAGTGTGGAGGATACTGTTTATAGTTTAGAACTGGAAAGGGTTTGGAAGACCTTCTGTCCTGACATCCTTATTCACAAAGAGGCTGAGGCTCGGGAGGATGATTTACCCAAAGCCACAAGATGAGTTCCTGGCAGAGCTAGGCCGAAAGCCCCAGACTCCTACTAGTACCTCCTGTTTCTGAGCATTTTGTTTCTTCAGCCTGCTTTCCAACATGAGGCCTTGTTTTGTCATCACCGCATCCCTGCAGAAAATGTGTTAGGTACTTAAGCATAGCCTCACTTTACAGAGCTCCAGGTGAAGGCCAGGGGGATGAGTTGTCAATGGAGCCTGGATTTGCGCCCCTGTTCTTGCTTCTCCTGTCCTCATTGTGCTAAGTTCAAGCGTTCTTGGTGGTCATTAGGACATTTCACTGGAGTATGAAATGTGTATGGAGAACACAGATGAGCTTCAGGCTCAGTCTGTCCCAGGGGCAGTCTAGGAGGTGAATGGGGGCACAGCCCTATAGGTGTCAACCAGAGGACATTTTGCCTCTTGCCAAAGCCTTGGGAAAGTGGCTGACAGAGCCAGAATCTGGCTCGTATACTAGAACCCTCCCCTCTGGCCTGTGTTCCTTTGGGGAAAGTGCACCAGTTCCTTCTATCATAGGAGTCTTTCTTTGCAAGAATTAAGTTTTTATTTGAGAATTCTGCACTTAAAAAAAAAATTAAAGTATCCCAAGTGACTGTCCAAAGTATAGTTGGAATGTTTTGATTAGTATTATATTATTGGTATTAATAGTGATACCATCAAGTTAACTTCTGTTTCTTGGATACCCTGAATACTACTTCACAGACATTCTCATTTAATTCTCTACTAATCCAATGAAGTAGGCACTTTTGTCTCATTTTATGGAAAAGAGGACTGAGGCCAAAAAGGTTAAATAACACGTGCAAGGTTATATAGCCAGTGAATGTAGAGCCAGGACTTAAACCAGAAAAAAAAACAGAAGCAGTGAGCCACATTTTAAAATCCTATCCTGTCAGAGTTTAGAGGTCACTTGATTGATGCCCAGAGAGGTGTCAGGTCTGCTAGTTGCTGGTAAAGATGTCATTAGCTCAGGGACCTCTGACCACATCGTGCTGCTTTCCCTTCGGCCGGCCCGGTGAAGACTGCTGCTGGGCCAGAGTGGCTCCCCAGAGCACACAGTACCTCGGCAGAGAATACTTGGTGCAGGTCTATCTCCAGCATCAGTCCCTGCTACCCTCTTGAGACCTGTTCCCTGTCAATCCAGAAGAAAAAGGAAAAAGACCAGGAGCTCAATTCATGAAAAGTGGAGGAGAGTTTCCTCTGTGGACATCAGCTCCCCTTATTCTCCTACCCGGGTGGATGCAGCCAGGGAAGAGAGACCAGCAGTGTGGGAGGCTGTGGCCCTTTCTGTGGGCTTTCTTCATTTCTTGGGATGCTCCACTTCGTAATGTGGCCAAGCCTCTAAATTTGACTTTCTCTCTGCCGGTAGGGCCACATCCAGAGCCAGACAGGCCCCCTTAAGCTGTGATGTTTTTTCAAATGTGACTGTGTTCTTGCCCCCCTCCCTTCATCTTCCTATATCCTCTTTCATCCCCGAGGGCTGCTCTACCACTCTGTCTTTCTCCTAGTCCCATCTCTCCCCTTCTTGTCCCACACGAATGTTTAAGTTACTGCATGAGAGGTAACATGTCAAATCAATACATGTGTTTCACAAGCAAATCACAAAATTAGCCAAAGTTGGTCATCTTGTTTCTGTGTTGAAAGACTGTCTCCCTTCTCTGCCTGTTTGTCTCAGCTTTATCTGGAAGCCTGGTTTGCTGGCCTCAGGGTGAGTCCTTTCAGTAAAATCCCAACCAACAACCTCCTTTCCAACCTGGAGCCAGGAACATGTTGGCTCACTTGACCTTCCACAGGCAGGAAGTCCACCTGGTGTGGGGACAGGTGAGGACTGACTGCTCTTTCCTGTTTTGTCAGAGCATGAAGGGACACCCACCCCCAACACCCCTTTTTGGAGATGATGACGATGATGATGACATTGACTGGCTGGGATGAAGTCCCAGGAAGCTGTTGCAAAGGTTCTCCAGTGACCCTTCCCTAAGCATAATTTTGCACAGCCAGCCCTGGGTCTAGATGAGCCACAGGGTGTGGTGAACGTGAGCATTCTGAGGCCAGCAGTTCAGGTCTCTGAAGTAGCGAACTCGTGGGCCCCCTGCCTGGCAGGGTGAAGAGGAGTGTGAGCCTGTCTTCAGAATGCTGGGGTTGTCAGAAGCCCACTGTGGTCCTGCCTCAGAGTCCCATTTGGAGGGAGGGATTGTTGGTTCCCCTCCAGCCAGTCACCTGCAAGGGTCTTGCCCTCTTCCAAGACTCTTTTTAGTCTCTTCACTAACTCGCAGACTGATCTGCCCCCCAGTGCCCCACTGTGCCCCCGCAGCAAGACCTGTCAGCTGGGGTAAGGTCTCCTGGTAGAACCAAGGGCGGATTATACCATGTAAACCTTGGTGTGGTTAACAGAGCTGCTTGCAGTCTTGGGACATGTATCTTTTCTCTGCCTTAAATCTGATACAGGAGGTGAGTGGATATTTGAAATTAATAAAACAAATAAATATCTGCAATGAAATTTGACTGAAGCTTTTGGGGAGAAGCTGAATTTGGTTCTAAGGGATTCCAGGGTCAGGAGTTGTAGCGGATCTGACTTGGTTAGCCCACACAAAAGCATTGTGACATGCCCTTTGGAACCTAATCCTGGAATTCTTAGGTTTCAGAGAAAGTTACCACTTTGTTGTCCCAGCTCATCAGAGCCACATTAAGTCTCAGAGCATCATGGTTATCTGAGGACCAGTCCTGTCATCCACTTGCTCCTGCAGGCCTGGTCCTCTACCCTAGGAAGCCATGCAGAGAAGATGTGAGGGTCCCTACATTCCACTCTTGTCCATAGTGGCACCTGACAGGTTGATTTTTCATTTTGAGATCAGCTTCTGAACTTCAGGGCCAGTACTAATGCAGAGGACAGTAGTGAGAAAATATTTGAGGTCATTTTACTCATTCCAGGATCTTCCAAAGACCATGTAACCGTTTCTCAAAAAGCAGGATAATTTAAATAAAAACGTTCCAATTTAAAATATTTATATGATAACCTAATTCCATTCCAATGTGGCCTGACATCCTTTGTTATGACAGCTTTGAGCCTGTCTCGCATATGTGGAACAAGGAGTCAGTAAGAATTACCATTTACTGAACTTTGTTATTTAACAAATAGGCACTGTTGTTGAGCACTTTACAGACTGTCTCATCTCCAGCAAACCTTGCAGAAGACACTGTATTCCCCATTTTACAGAGGAGAGACTGAGGCTTAGAGAGGTCATTTGTCCATGGTTACATAATTAGTAAGCAGCAAAACAATTTAGATCCTGGCCATTGGATTCCTGGGCCCCAGTGCAGACCTCCTGAAACAGAACTCTGCTCTGTTAGGGTAAATTATGCAGAGCACAGGTGTTTTTGGTCTCCACTATGTGCATTCACCCCCTTGGTCCACTGGGTGCTGTGGTCTTAGGCAGTTACTCTCTCAGCCTTCCCTCTCCACTTAACTGACGGGCAGACTTGGGCCCAGGCTGCCTGGTTCTGCCACTTACTAGCTGGCTGACTATTCAAACTTCCCTGTGCCTCAGCTTCCTCATCTCTTAAAACAAGGACAGAAATAGTTTGTACAAGTTCTGAGGATTACATGAGCTAATATTGTGAAGTGCTTAGAACACTGCCTGGCACATAAAAGCACTATGTAGGTATTTGTTTAAAAAAACTTCAAATAGAGAAAATACAAGCTTTTGTAACCAGGCTCTGAAGAATGTTGAAATGCCTCCTTAGTCTGACTGTATAATCAGTGTCTCTGGAGCATAGATTTTTTTAAAGCCCTCTATGCTTTAAAAGCCTCAAATGCATGATCACATTTAGGGAGACCATATCGCAATGGGAAGAGGTTGCTGATCAGCCATGGAGATGCTCATCTCCGCAGTGGCGAACGGGAGGGAGCCTGATCCTGTCAGGATGTATAAATGGAGGCACGAGGCTCCATCAGCAAGACTGCCCTGGACATAGAAAATCTTCTGTCATTACACAGAGCAACATTCCACTTGCCTGCTTATGTGGGGAGAATGCACCGGTCATTACCAAAGGTGCCACATACCATGTTTTCTGTTAATTCTTACCGTAAATCAAGAAGTGGCTTTGATACAGTTTTGCTCCTGCCCTCAGGGAGAGAAGGTGCTAATAGTGCCAACAGGGTGTTTACAGTCTGGGTGGCAGCCAGTTCTTTTTCCCATGGCAGGCACCCAATCAGTATTTGTTACCTGGCTAAAAGAAGGACTGGACGAGGCTGGCACTGGAGCATCTGCCTGAGGGCATAGCGTTTAGGCCTGGGTTTCCCTGAGTGTGGAGTTGTCCTCTTTGTAGCAGATGGACAGCCTTAAGCCTTGAACAGCCCTACAGCCAACGCTACCAGCTCCGCATCCCTCTTGGCTCTTGGTAGTTGTTACAGGGGTTATGTGTATTTGCTGTTTGAATGAGAAGCACAAGAACGGTCACAGACTGTTTAAAAATATATATTTATTAAAAGGCATTTCTTTTTTAATTCCCAAAGCTTAAGACCATCTTCCACCCAGCCCATGAGGTACTTGGGCATAGACATTACAGTAGACAGCAGTGATTTTTTTCTCCTGGGTCTCTCATGTCCTTTTCTTTTATAAAGCGAAGAAGGTCAAGTATCTGGAGAGTCCCACCTGATTCTACAAACATAATGCTTTGGTTTGACTGCTTATTGCATCTTCAGGCAGTACCTCCGTCCCATGGCTTACTCAGTATTTTAAGTGAATGAATCATGTTTCCCCACCAGATCATTACAGGTGAGCAATAAGTAACAGAATGTTTTGAATGTTATTCCACGCAGTTATCTGTTATGTGTAAAAGAAGGATCAGAGAAGAGGGGGTATTAAGGCCCTGAAGAGCACCCCAGACACCTAAAGCCATGGGAGTGTCTTCTTCCTGCAGGCAGTACCTTTCAAGGGAGGCGCTTGCTCTAGCCAGAGGGAAAATCAGGAGCCCTTAGAACAGTCCTGCTTCCCTGACTTTAATCTGCTGTCACTCTCCCCACAAGAAAGGGAAACAGGTTTCAGCAGATGTTGCCATCCTTCATTATAAAATCATTGCATTAAAAATTTTGTATTAATGTGCAAAATTGCCAACCAGGAGTTCAATGGGAAAAATGAAAAAAATCTTAGTATGTCACCACGATCGATAGAGGAGATGATCTTTCCATATTCCAAAGGTAGAAAAGTGAGAAAAAGGAGCCAGTTTGGTCTCTGTCTCCCAAAGACAGAAGAGGTCAGACAGTCCAATGGAAGATGCTCCTCTAGGTAAGGCACAAATCAAGGGAGCAGATGGTATCCAGGCTCCAAGCCCTTCATCACCCAGAACCCATCTCTCTATCTTGAAGATCTTTGGAAATTCTTGAGTTTTGGGTTACAGATAGTCATCATGGGCTCCGGAACCTTGCCCCCAGGTTCTGGTGTGTCCATTCTCTCTCTGGTCACAGCAGCCTTCTTCAGGCACAAAGAGACCACGCCTGGGTCCTATGCCAGTAGGCTGAGGAGAGGTAGCTGCAGTGGCCTGTGAGCTCCAGGGGAGTAAGTGCTGGCTTCAGCTGAAAGTTTCCAGGAACCAGGTGCAAGGTGAGGAACAGCCATCAGAAAAAATGGAGACATGGGGCTGGAAGTTCAACATCTGGAAGAGGGGGCCCCAGGTCTCTCCAGCCATCAGTGCCTGCACAGCCCTCAACAACTAAACCATGCTGAGAAGTGGGTAGGCAAGGTAGTAGCCCACAGCCGAGCCCAGGACCACACCCAAGAAAATCCAGGTGTTGTAGGACATTACAGCCAGCATCATGAAGTAGCCGATGACCACCTGAGCAACATGGATTAGAGACTGGCCGAAGTGACACAAAAACCACCTAGATAAAAAGGAAAGCCAAGTTAATGTTTGTAACAGGCTAGAAGCTAGGAACTTCCTACTTCCTGGTGTCAGGAAGTAGAAAGAGCAACTGAGTTATAGGACCAGTTTATGTGTAATTTGTATGCTTAACCCAGGGGAGAATTCCTTTTAAAGAGATCTATCAGAAACTACTGATAGAGAGGGGAGAGGGACTTGTACAAGATGATTAGGATAATCACTTTTTACCACATTTAGCTCTGAGTTTCCTGGCACCCTTGGCAAAAAAGGAAAACGAGGTATAAAATCTATTATGTCTGATAAGGGATAATACAAAGTTGTCAGTAAGGCAGATTTTTTTTTTCTCAGAATCTACTGTGGCAGGCAGTATTAACAATGGAAAGAGCCTGGTCTTAGGTGACAGGTCAGTTCCTAGCTCTGCCACTTAACTGTGGCTCAGCACAAATGTCTTAGTTTCTTCTGAGCTTAAATTTCCTCATCAGTAAAACAAGAATAAGAATACCTCCCTTGCAGGGTGTTGGTGAATATTTGAGATGCCCATGTAATGAGCAGGCAGGCTCATTAAGCACAGCTGGATCTGGAGAGAGGGCAGGAGTGGGAGTCCACTTGGCTGCTCTATCCGAATGGGAAGAAAGCAGAGGAGAGGAGAGAAGAGCGTGCTCTCCCACTTGGTTGGACACATTGCCGATGGCAATCCTTAACCATTTGTGTAGGGACAGCTGCAGATCCCATCTGGGTTTGGAAGCCTTAGTGACCTAAAGAAACCTGCTGAGGTTTGGAGGGAGGGCTAGGTGGACACCCCTGTTGCCAGCCTGAGGTCTGCCCCAGAGCTCTGCAGATCTGAGCCTCCTGAGTGGCTCTCAGCAGAGAGGCTCCAGTCTGGGCATCAGGAGCTAAGCTCTAGTTCATCTCACTGATAAGGGGGAGCGCTTTGGCAACCCCTGGTCCTTCCCTGGGCATCAATTTCCTTTTTTGTAAAGTGGGGTTAATGGCCTCTGGGCCCAGCCTACCTCTCAGGGTGAATGCAAGTACTCTGCCCATTTCCACCCCCAGCCCCTGTTACCTGACACGGTTTCTGCTGACGGGGGGTAAGTCTGAGCCTGAGGAGTTCTCGTCTGTCTCTTCAGCGAGCTGCAGGCTGGTGGGGAGGGCCATGCTCACCAGAGCCTGGTGGAGCAGCTTGGCTTTGCCAACCTTGATGCTTTCGTACAACACAGCCAAGAGCAGGACCACCAACACCGAAAGGGCCATACCTGTCAAAGGGAAGCTGAGTTGCAGAGACCTGGCCAGGCAAGCCCTGCTCCCCTGCCGGCAGCTTCCCCTAGAACCTGGTACAGGTGCCAGAACACCTCTGCCCATCCCTTCTGTCCAGCTACCTCTCACATCTTCCTCACCTCCACTGGGCTAGGGTCTAAGGGTAAAGAAGCCATACACCATCACCCAAAGGTGCTCCTCCAGGCCCAAATCTCTGTCCTGACTTCTACTTAGGAGAGCATGCACAGCAAGGTCCTATTTACACGTATGAACACAGAAAAGCCCGGAAGGAAGGAGAGACAGCAAAGGAGTCAAAATTATCTCAGCCAATTAGGATACAGGAGGCTTTTATTTTCTTCTCACTTAACTTTACAAAGTTTCTCTGTATATAATACTTCTGTAAGAGCGGGAAAAACCAATGTTATTTTAAAGAAAACTGAGTGTTTACTAGAGCTGCTATGTAAAATTAACTGCTAATTGCTACTTCTATTTTACAAGTGGAGGGAATAATAAATGGTCCGACTATAGTATTTTATTGAGCTCCCAGGCAGAAATCATCTGCAAAATATACTTTTTTTAAAATATAAAATTATAGGTAATTCCTTGAACATGGTATACATTCAAACCATGCAGAAGAGCATAGAGTGAAAAATAAGTCTTCTTCCCAGCCCAGTCTCTCAAAGCCCCAGTTCTCCCCAGAGCAACTTCTGTTAGCAATTTCCTGTATAGCTTCCCAAGGATACTCAGTGCATAGATAAATCTTTACTTGTCTAGAAGACAGCATCCTATCTGTGCATATACTCTTCTCCCTCTTCTCGTTGTCATCCAACTGCACCTTGTATATGGATTCCTCTTAGTTCACACAAATCTACCTTGTTTCTGTGGCTTCACAGTATCTGTGATAGATTATATTTTCCAAATATGGCCACCTCACTATTCCATGTCACATGCTGTTCTTACAATGTCAACATCCTGCCATCAAGTGGAGGGGTCCATGTTCCCTCTTCTTTAACTGAGATGACCTTTGTGTCTGCTTCAACCAATAAAAGTGGAAGCAAGACTTCCAAGGGTAGGCCTTAAAAATCCCCTGCACTTCCACCTTGTTCTCTTAGGACACTCATTTGCTTTTTGGAGCCCAGGCACCTTGCCACAAGGAAACCCAGGCCACAGGAGACACCACATGTAGGCGTTAAGTCAACAACCCTGCTGAAGTCCTAGGTAACCACCAGCATCAACCAGCAGACATGAGTGAGGAAATCTTCAAGATGACTCCAGTTGCAGCCACTGTCTGACTATATCTGCTTGAGACACATTGAAGAAGGACTGCTTGGCTGAGCCAAGTCAACTCAGAACCTTAAGAATAATAAAATGACTACTGCTGTTTTAAGCCACCAGGTTTACTCTGCAATAGACTGATTACTAGAATGGTGGCCCATTGGAGGGATGACCATAATTTATACGATCAGCACCTGCAGTGACGAGCATTTGGGTTATTTCCATTGCCAGTTTATTTTTAAGATGCAATTATTTAAGTGTAAATACAACTCCATCATGAATTAGTACCTAACTGCTTTTCAAGTCAAAGGAATATTTCTCTTCCAAACTGGTGTCTTATTTGAGGTCCAAAGATGGAGGAGCTGCTCTGGGCTTCTGAGCTGATGTTGGGCAGAGAACTCTGGATGAGGGGAGGGGAGGCCTTGATCTAGTTCTGGCTTACTTGCTGTGTGACCCTTGATGAGTCTTTTCCCCTTTCTTCAGTTCCATCCCTTGTAATAGAAGGGGGAGCTGCATCCCAAATCTCTCTCTTGGCCTTTCTGAGCATTAGTGAGATAATGGAGCTTTTTGCAAACTGAAGGGCACTGGCTGCAATGGAATTAAAAATGCAAAGTTCTCAATGTTTATACAAGAAGAGTCAGGCTCAGTCATGTCCACAGAGGGCATAATAAAGAGAAACCAGGTTCTCCATTGCCTGGAGCTATGACTCCCCAGGCTACAAGCCTGGGCTTCCCAATGCTTACCTGCAGGACTGTGGACATTCCAGAAATCAAACAACAGCACCACCTCATCTGAGAAGATGAAATGCATCTGAAAGAGAAGGGGATCTGCATCAAGGGGCTTCAGGCAACAGTAGTCATGGTCCCTAGTGCTCTCCAGCAGCCTCCTCTAAAAGTCCAGAAAAATGGGGTCACTGGATGTAAGTGCTAGAAGAGCCATTACTGGTCATCAGGGCCAACTGAGGCCAGACAGGGCAGGACTTGCCTGAGGTCCCTCAGTGGCGGCAGCAGAGCTGTAATTGAGCTGGCCTTGCTCCAGGTGGAAGTGAGGTGTCAGGGTGCCCATCCTTACTGAGCCAACCAGGTCACAGTATTCCCAGGCCACGCTGAGCTGTCCCCTCTGTGCCAAGCACAAGACTGAAGAATGAGTGCCTCCCTTACCCCAGACCCCAGCCATTCTGCTCCAGCTGTGTTTGTCATGGAAGAACGCAGGGGCAGCGGTCTCCATTCTACCACATCTGTTCACTCATGCCCTAAACATATGCTGTGCCCAGCATTATGGACAAAGACAAAATTCTCTGCCCTCAATGAGCTCACAGCCTTCTGGAAAGAATGAAAGTAGAAGCAATGGCAATGTCTGAACATCCTTTTTAAAGAGCACCTGGTCCATCCTGTGTTCAGAGTGGCATCAAGGGCTTTTCATGTATTATCTCATTTCACAACAGTCTTCTGTGTGACAGAGACAGTCAGGCTCATCTCACAGGAAGGAAAATTGGGGAAATGAGGCTCAGAAACAGTAATTTTGCTGAAGGTCAAAAAGCTAGTAAGTTGGCAGAGCTGGGATTCAAACCTGGGTCTAGTTGGATGCCAAAGCCCTGTGCATTCCAGACCACCATGCTGCCTCTTGACTGCCAAGGTCAGGATAGGGACTGGATGGTGATTCTAAATGCCCACAGCAGGCTTAATGACTGCTTGGCAAGATTAAAGCCAGCCAGATCAGTCCGTTCACTCTCTCAGGGAAGGTCACCAGGTAAACTTGCTAAGACCTCCTCAGCCCCGGAAGCAGCTCTGCAAACACTGTCTGCGCCCACACAGCGAAGGAGGTCCTGGCTGAGCTGGGATCGGGTAGTGGAAGGCTTTGCCTTCTAATACAAGTATTAGAATCCTCAAAAGGCAGAGCAGGAAGTATTCTCAGAGAATTTATTTTTTTACTGAGATAACGGACACATAATGTTGTATTAGTTTCAGATGTACAACATAATGATTCAATCTACCCACCTATTGTGAAATAATCACCACAATATGTCTAGTGACCATCCATCACCACACACAGTTACACATTCTTTTTCTTGTGATGAGGATCTTAAGATCTACTCTCTTAGCATCTTTCAAATATACAGTACAGTATTATTAATTACAGTCACCATGCCTGCACCTTACATCCTAAGCCTTACTTGTTTACTCAGTGCATTTTCAGTCCTCTAGTTTTCAACTTTTTTTTTGCCAGGGAACACTGCAAATAAAATCTTGTAACTCCACCATATAAAACACAGGACTCTGGGTGAAGTGGGGAGAGAGGTCTCAGCTCTACTGAAACTCAGTGTGAAAAACACTGATCTGGTCCAGCTCTGGCTGCTCTCTAGCCCCATCCCATTTCCAGATAGGGAAAATGAGTCCCGGGAGGGGAAGGGATTTGTCCAAGACCTCATAACAAGAAAATGAAAACCCAGGCAGTCATTTAAAAAGTATGTTGAGGAATTTAAAAATAAAAATAGCTTCTTATTCCCCTAATAGGAAAACGGTACTTGCTCAATATAAAAAGCTGAAACAGGATAAAAAAGAAAGTAAAAATCATTTTGAATCTTACTACCCAGAGATATTGTTTGTTAAGGTTTTAAAATGAACGTTCGTTGACAGGCAAAATGTTCACAAAACATAATGCAAAAATAAATGGGTACAAATAATCCCGTGAAACTCCTTTACACTGGAGTACCACTCATTCAACTTCAGCCTCTAGCACCATCTCCGCAGTGGGAGTGGAGGGAGTGTTGCACCATGCCCCCTTCTCTGTGTTCACTGGATAGAGCACTTGGCATGACTGGAATGTCCTCAGTGGCTAATTAACCAGACAGGTTTCCTAACTAGGTTCATTCTGTCACCCCTGGGCCTGGGTCAGCTATCTTAGGAGCCCCAAACAGCTTTTGCTGTAGACCCAAACACCCACAACACAGTAAATTTATTCAAGCAGCAGACATTTACTTTTGTTGTGCCAGGGGTGCAGATGCTGGAGCTACAGAGATGAATGAAACAATTCCTTGGCCCTCAGGGAGCTAGCCATCTAGTCGGGGAGAGGAGAGAATAATCATTACAATAGGGCCAACAGCATGTATGTAGTCAATGAGAGGAAGGCACAGGGAAGGCCTCCTGGGGGGTGCTGGAGACGAAGCCCCCTGGGGACGCCTAGCCTGGTGTCTAGGATCTCTTCAGAGGCAGGAGGAACAGGAGGCAGCCAGGGGAAGACAGTCCAGTATGTTCCAAGCTGGAAGTGCCCACACCCAGTGTCTGGTTCCACCTCACTGGGGAGAGAGCAGCGCAAAGGACAAAGACTCACCTACTCTTGCCTTTTCACTGGAGAAAAAGATTCAGATCAGCACAACCTGACTTGGGGCTGCAGTTTTCAATTAAAGGGTCTGTGGTCAGATAAACAAGGGGCTGGGGTCTAATCTTGCGTCTCCATGTAGGATGAATCTGCCTCCTGCAGCTGGGTTTAATTTATCTGCGCCTATTCATGGCCCCATCCTGGGTAAGGAGGGGCAGAGCTGAAGAGCGCAATCATGGGACTTTTTAATTTTCTTATTTGGGGTTACTTAACCTTTGAGAAAAGATCATTTATAAACCAGAGTTTTGGGGAAGATTAAGGTCCCTGTTCCTGCCAGCTGCCTGGCTAGGGGAACTTTTCAAAAGTGCTCCCCATCTATTTCCCCTTTTAGAACAACAGCGGTTGCTGGGGATGGGCGTTTGACGGAGTAACTGTTGGTTTCCTGTACCTCATATTCTGTGGCATTCTTCATGGGATAAAGAAAATTATATGAATTCTAGGAGGACCAAAGAGCCTTGCAACCTGTCATTCTCTCCAGCCTAGGTGAACTCTGCGAGAAAGTTTTACCTGAAACGCTATTTCTGACCCGTGTAAGGAGGATGGAAAGTAGCTGGGTTGGTTCCTCCCCCACCACCCAAACATCAAACCAGGAGCTTGACAAGACAGAGACCCGCCCGAGGTGTGGGTGCTGGGTGTGTGGGCGCCGCAGGCTGAAACGCACCGGGGCTTCCCTTTTCCTGGGAGCCTTCCCGGAACCGCCCCCGAGTCACCGCGCTTAGGGCAGGGGACCCCAGGCCTCGTCTATCTTCAGCCACTGCGCCCCAACCTCCCACCCTCAGCTGCGCCACAGCAGGTGCACAATTACTGCTTGTCCAGCCGGACTGACCCCCAGCAGAAGGGACAAAAGAAAAGTGGGAAGCCACCGCCAGCTCCACTTCCCGCGCCCGCCCCAACCTTGTTTCTGCTGTTGACAGTGCTGCCAACCTACTCCGCCACCAGTCCCCCGCCAGATGCCCGGGGCGGCTGCTGGAGGGCCCGCCCCACCCCGCGTCCGCTCCTCTCGGTCCGCTCCTCCGGACTCACCGCTAAGGAGAGCGCGCTGGGTGGGCACCGGGGTCGCTGCTGCTCGCTCTGGTCTCCTGGCTGCGAGTCCGTCCCGCCCCCGCCGCGATCGCGACCCGAGCCGCGCGGTCACATGGTCAGGGCGAGGCGTGCGCGCGGGCCCCTGGGAGTTGTGGTCCCCAAGACACGCCACTCGGACGCACCCAACGGCCCCGACCCCCCGCTGGGCTTCAGGTCTCGAGCCGAGCAGCGCTGCGGCGCTAGAGTCGCAAGCAGCGCGGGGCTGTCTCCTGCATTCCGTGTGGCCTCTTACTGCTTTGCACTTGACTTATCTTTGCAATTATCATTAAAATGTTCATTGCTACTAATGAACCATGCGAAGCTTCACATGTGAAGTTAAAAATTGGAAAGTCCATCCTATGGACAAAATACCAACAAACCACGAATAAACTAAAGAAAGTAAACCCAGGCTTTATGTAGCCATTCTTAATGTAGCCATTCTTTTTTCTTTTTAAAAAAATCTTTTTGCAATACAGAGTTGTAATTTTAATTTGTATTTCTTTGTTTACCAGGGTGGTAAACGTTTGTTTGTTTGTTTTTTTTGCTATTTCCATTTTTGTGTTTTGTCCGTTCATTTTATCCATCCAGTTTGGCTGGGGAGGGTTCTGGGGATGAGAGACTTTTAACAGTATTAAAAATTTAAATATACTAAGTAACCCTTTGCCAGTCATCCTATGAAGAAAGGGGCTGGAGGAAAAACCTTACCAGAGAGTGTACTAGCTGAACTTGAGCCTGGAATGTGACCTCAGTTCAAATCCTGACTCAGTACTGGATATGGGACCTCAGGCAAACGGCTTTACATCTCTGGGCCTCAGTTTCTTCATCAAGCAAATGAAAATAATAATGGAATCTATGCCACTGGGGTGTTATAAGGCTTATAACTGTAGGAGCTTGCCTGATAAATGGTAGCCATTGTCATCATTAGTGGCAAAAATTCCCGTTTTATGAAAGGGCAGGGGACCCCGGGACTCATCTATCTTCAGCCACCGTGCCCCAACCTCCCACCCTCAGCTGCGCCACAGCAGGTGCACAATTACTGCTCATCCAGCCAGACTGACCCCCAGCAGAAGGGACAAAAGAAAACCCAGAAGCCACTGCCAGCTCCACTTCCCGTGCCCTCCCCAACCTTGTTTCTGCTGTTGACTGTGCTGCCAACCTACTCTGCCACCAGCCCTCCGCCAGATGCCCGGGGCGGCTGCTGGAGGGCCCGCCCCACCCCGCGTCCGCTCCTCTCGGTGGTGCCCGCACTCACCGCTGTCCTCCCCCAAACAATCTGGCCAAAGGATTTGCAGCACAGCTTTATTCATATGACTAAATTTTATGAAAGGAAGCTGACTGCAAAAGGTCAAGCCACTTGCCCAGGGCCATACAGCTTCTAAAAGCCTCAATCTGGAAAATAGCTGGGGTTAGAGGGAAGTCAGGGATTGGGGCAGCTTCAGAGAAGGAATACAGCCTGGGCACCAGGAGGTCGGGAAGGGAGGCCCACTGCTGTCTGGAGTGTGCAAGGCTGGGAAGAGGCAATGGGGAGAAAGGGGGCTATTGTATATTCTTGAAGCATCTGGGCCCCAAGACCTTGGGAGGGATTTGGTGATTCACATGTAAGTTTTCACCTCTTTAGCTCTCACCTGGAAAGTAGGAACAAGAAGGCTTGACCTTCAGACAAGCAGGCTCCCTTGCACTGTCCTCCCCCAAACAATCTGGCCAAAGGATTTGCAGCACAGCTTTATTCATATGACTATTTTTGTTGGCTTTGGCACAATCTGATGACCTTCACACTTAGTTTTAACTTCCTCATATGTGTTACAGCTCTAACAGTCCTGAAGTTCTAAAGTGTTCCTTTTCTTTCTGAGCCACCAGAGACTCCCCTCCTCTGGCCTCCAGGCAGAGAACTAGGTTCCAATCCCAGCTCATAAGATCATACTACCACCAGCCAAGCCTTGGTCCATGGCAAGAGGTTCTTTCTGGATTCTGTATTTTGACAGCCCATGGACTCCCTTCCTCCCAAGGAACAATAGACTGCTCTTGTCTTTCCAGCACACATCTAGAGCCCCTGGATAGAATCCACAGTCAGGAAAGATGGTGCTGTCTCAGGTGGCACAAAGATTGGCAAGGGGCCCTTTATCTTGGGTGCTTGGCTCATCCATGGTCTGCTGTGGGAGGGGACATCCAACCAGTTGCTTCTCCTTCTGAGGTTCCTCTCCTTCTGCGGAACTTGAGGTGCCATGAAAAGACCACATGCACAAAATGTTATTCCTGTAGAATATCTGACCTTGATGAGCAGCTAAGGCTGTGTGACCCCAAGGATGCCATTATCCCTTTCTGGGCTCCAGTAAGGGGTGGAATGGATGGCCTCCAACTGCCCCTTTACATGTTTTGTGATGATCTGCAGTGGTAAGTGAGCTTGAGGTTGGAGTTGAACATCTTATGACTAGGAATGATTTCCAAGTCACTCCATTCAGCTAACCTCCCACGTTCTCCCACAGAGCTCTATTACTGTGTATTTATGCTCTGAGTAGCATTATGTATCTGCTGCATATGGCACTGGGAGAGCATGCACGTTCAAGGTTGGTGGGAGAGAAGCAACAGCGCGCACGCCTGCTCTGTGAATGTGTAGCAGACTTTGTGTTGGTGAGGCTGGAGAAGGCAGGAGCCAGGCCACCAACAAGCCAAAGGCTATGTTTAAGGTAAGAATTTATTCTGGGACAAAGAAGAGCTATCAAAGGACTTTTAACATATGTTTCTCTTTTCTGCATTTTTCTCTTTTCTTTCCTGAATGTCACCCACCATATTGCTGAGGCTTACTCTGACCCCTCTATTTAAAACTGCAATCCCCTCTGTATTCATTGCCCTATTTACTCAGTTTTCTCTTTTTTTTACATAGCACCTATCACCTTGTGACATACGACTTAACTTGGCTGTTCATTATTCTCTCACTCCACTCAAATGGAAGATCAAGGACAATGGGGATTTCTATAGTTTTGTTCAGGAAAACACCACCATCCCTAAAATAGTTCATGTCACAAAGCAGACTGTCACTAAGTATTTGTTGAATGAATGAATCCCAGCAGGCCGACGGTTTGCACCTCATTGCCTCAGAGGAAGGAAGTGGCAGCAATAGAAGCCACCTCTGAGAGGTGATGGTTTTGTTTCCCATGAGCCTTGCGGGCAGGTTCAGGAAAGCTTGCGGGTGAAAGTGAGAAAACAATTTATGCAGGAGCAGGAGGAGCCGGCAGGGCTGCCCTCCCCACCTGCTGAATACTTCAGCCTCGAAGAGGGGGCAAAACTGAGGGGCCTGGAGCATGCGGCCTGGGGACTGGCGTTGGGCAGGATCAGCAGGGAAGAGCCCCAGGAGGAGAGGCAGCGAGGTCAGAGGCAGCAGCCCTGCTGGGCAAGGAGCAACCAAAAGGGTGAGAGGTCCTGGAGCCCGGGACAAAGACAGTAGGCCCAAATGGGGCCCTGCCTCTGGAACTGACATGCCAGGGGCACAGAGACCACCGAGCACACTTCATTCCAAATTCCTGCCCCACAAGACCTTAGGGCAAAATAAAATGGTTGTCTTAAACTGCTAAATTTGGGGGTAATCTGTTAAACATTAATAGAGAGCAGGAACAGTTACAATCCAGATAATTTCTTCTTCAACCCTTGGATTAATTTAGTAGAGGTCAGGTGAGACCAGGGGATGGGGAGTATCCTGAACATTTTCTTTTGCTAAAGGTTTATTTAGAATTGAGTATTTGTTTATTTATTAATGTGTCCTGCCTCCATACAAAGGCTTTGAGGCAGCTCACAGAGAGACAGTCAATAAAAGATAAAAAATGAAGTAAGTGAGGGAAAGCTAAACAATGACCAGAGAAGAATAACAAGGACGTTAGTTGAAACAGCCCCTGGGGACACTGAGTTGGCCCTGAGAACTCAGCGGGTACTTGCTAACTGGAAGCTGTAACAGGGTTGTGCTGTGGGGCTTCCAGGCCCTGCAGGGACCTGTCCCAGCAAGGACTCTCAGGGTGACATCAGGGCAGGTGCCAGGAGCAGTCACATGTGGGCAGTCATGCATTATCTTCAGCCCTGGGGACTTTGCCTCCTTTGGAGTCTGGGGCTTTTGTTCTGGGCCCTGTTTTTTCTAAGAATGTGGTCAGAGCCCAAGTTCCTCCCTGCCTGAGGCATCTCTCTGCACTGGCTCTGCTACCAACAGAACCTGAGGTTTTCTTTGCTCCTGAACATGACCTTGCTCATCCTGGGTTGTGGTGCAGCTTCTCAGGGTTCCTGTCCCCTGTTTCATAGTTCTCAGGGGGCCAGGACCATGCTGATGCTCTGTCTCCCTGATGCGTGCTGCATCCCCCAGGCCTCAGCTCCCTCCTGTTTGAGTAGGCGCCCCCAGGAGTGCAGGGCACGCTGCAGTGCCTCTGGATGCTGCCTCTGTCCCCTTTGGTGGCTCTGAAGCCTGCTGGGATGAAGGAGGGCATGGGCTGGCCAGCCAGCCGTGGGGGTGTATATTGGTTTCCTTGGGCTACTTTGACAAATTACCACAAATTTGGTGGCCTTAAACAATACATAAGGATTCTCTTACAGCTCTGGAGGTCAGAAGTCTGGAGTCAGTCTCACTGGGATGAAATCAAGGTGTCCCTTCTTCCAGAGGCTCCAGGGGAGAGCTCCTATCTTGTCCTTTCCAGCTTCTAGACCTGCACTGCTTGCATCCCTTGGCTTACAGGCACTTCCCTTCTCTCCAAAGCCCACAGTAAAGCAATTTGAAATCTCTCTTCAAATCTCACATTGGCTTCTCTCTTGCCCCTTTCTGCCTACCTGGTTTTGTTTTTGTTTTTGTTTTTGCCTTTGTGTAAATGCCAAGTTTCTGTCT